TCTTAAAAGGTTAAGTCTGTGTTTAAATGTGTCGGCCTTACCAAGCCCGTTACCTGTTACCTGTTACCTGTTACGAATATAATTATCGGCTTGTGTCCTGCTTTATTTACAAAAATTATAAAAGCCTGATTTAGCCTATTAGAAAAAATAAGACAACAAAAATTTATCCAAACAGAATATACAATCAACAACACTAGTAATTCCATAAATATTCATAAATTCAATGTATATCCAAACAGCATAATATAGAACAAAATCATTCAAAAAGTCTGTTTAACTAATAAAATAGGGGTGAAATGGATTGAGAGGAGAGATAAAGCTATTACAAATAGTATAAAAAATATAAATAAAAATAAAAATTAATATACTAGGCCAGCCTGAGAGGCTCCAAGGCCGAACTTTTGAATTAGAGCCTGATGCCTTTTTACTAAACGAGCTTTTATACAAGTCCAAGCCTAGTTCTAACAACCAATATTAGGCATGTAAGCTCAGGCCTTCACGAGCCGAGCCAAAGGCCCCTGACTCGTTTATCACCCCTAACCGCAAGTCTTGCAAGACGTAATACGTGACGAACACAATTTGCCTTTTGCATAAGTTGCACATAGGATTGATGCGCGACTTAAACGTTCAGACTCTTCATACATGTTTCATTTGCATTAAATTAATAAATAATTTGCTAAAAAAATTAAACAATAATATATCTTGATTTTGCATAGGAAGGGTAAAAAAAAAATGACATTACAATTAATACTTTTTAGAACTCACAAATATTTTATAAGAATTTGATATTTCTTATGTAGTATAAGATGAAATTATCTCTTATACAAATATAAAAATATATAGAATTCATGTGAGTTCATATAAAAAGAAGAAAGAAAGAAAAAAAAAAATGCCGTGTACTTTTATACATATATAAAAGATAGTGATTAAAGTTTATAACTACCAACTTTTTATAATGAATGAAAGGATTGGAATCAAAGGAAAAAAGTTTAACCTGTATAAGCAGAAGGGGAGTGTTAAGTACTTCTCCAGAACCAGGAACATCGTAAAGGAGCTGCTCCCAGCATGGGAATGGAGGTTGAAGAGCATCACCAAATTGCTGAAGCGTGACATCAGCATCAGCCTCAATGAATATAACCCCCTCTCCAGTACAATCCACCATGAGTTTTCTACCAGCACCTTCCCTAAGCCTACCTGCAAAAGGATAATAAAACACAAGCGTTTTCGCCAGTGCTTTTCTAATGACCTCAACAGGGTCTTTCCCTGCCATTTTTGGATCATAGCGATAGAACTGTATCGCCGGAATTTGGAAACGTAGACCATCTTGGTCGTCAATGTCTGAGAGTAGTTTCAGTTCGCGAGGTGTGGGTTTCGCCGGAGCTACCAGCTCTGGCTTATTCCTCCGCACTGTAAAGAACAGAGAGGCATGTGATTGGGCCATACCTAAACAGAGAGGGATGAGAGGGAAAATGCCTGATTTAGAATGGTTGGCAGATGCTATGTCTGATCCTAAAGCTACAAGCTCACATAAATAGCGCGCCATCCTATAATGGGATGACCCACTATGTTCATCGTGAAAAAAAATAAAAAAGCATATCTGACAGAGCAAAACACAACATGATTTTTTAAACATTTATTGTTTTTTTTTTTTACTTTTTCCATTGATTTATCAATTAGTTTATGAGTTTAGTGTGTGTCCTTTCAAAGGAAGGACGTAAGTTGTGTCCATACAGTTGTTATAACATGAGAAGTTATATTTTTTTTTCACTTTTCACTTTTCACTTTTCACGTGTAACTGAGGAAAGAGATAAAATAGATAAATTTTCATGTTATAACTATGTACTACTGAAGTACATAGAGTAAAAAAAACTAAAAAGACACCGCTTACGTCCTTAATTTTAAAGCATAAATAGTTTTCCCGTATTTAATTTCTCCATGTAGGTTGTAGTTGGATGGGAACATGGTACAACCATATTGGTTACAAGTTAGAAGTTAGTCATTATGTTATATTGAGTTGGAAAGGTTGTTAAGGGAATATGAATATTGAAGTATACAAGGGGAACACATTGTTGTTAAGAAGAATTATGCAATGAAATAAATCAGTTTTCATTCTTTCCCTCTTAATTTTCTTTCTATCTTAGATCCTAGCAGTGACAGAGTATCCTCTCAAGTTGTTCATCTACCAATCCTCTCAAGTTTTGGAAAAATTAAAACTGCATCTTAATCCACCAATAACTGCCCACTATATTTATAATGCAAGTTTCGAAAAGAAAAACATTGTGAATGTCGCAAACATGCTATATAGCGCCAACCTAAGTTCATCGAGATACACTTAAGAGAGGCCATATCTTGAAACTCAGAATTTCATTCCACAATTCCAAGGGAGGGGGTGGTGGAAGTTTTACCAAACTAAATTGTAGCAAAAGTGAATAAATTCTTGAGTTTGTATGTTATTTCCTTAAGGTATGTGAGTTCATATATACATTTTATATGGCATGTATGCATCCTCTTGAGATGAGAGTTCAATAAGTCATCAATTCTAGATTTTTACATTCAAGCCTATGTAAGATACCAATCTAAGTCTTCATCTTGGCTATCTTTTGCATGTTGCCTTGCCTTTGTATCATCATTTAGGTCTTGTTGCAGTAGCTTGTACCTTTCTTTCATTTCTCCATTGACTTACTTGCTTGTGTAGCTTTGAGCTTTTTTGTTGTGCTTTATTATCATAAAAACTAATCATTGAGCGACTTATGCAAAAAGGTAGCGCATGCTTGTCACATGTCTAGTGTTGCCTACAAATTGTGTATAATCCTATACGTGACTTGAACACCCATAACATTATGCGCAACTCTTAGCCATTGGCGAACCTAGGGAGGGGATTAGGGTTGATCACCTCACCGCCCCTCCCTTAAAATGTAGAGCAAGTGTTAAGTGAATTAACCTTAATTTTTATATAAATTTATATTTATAATAGGTTAGTCACTAATTAAGTATAGCTAAGAATAAAATTACTATATATAAAAAAAAGAATAAAATTGCTACAAATGAATATAATGAAAATTTTTAATCAAATTTTCTTTGTTAGCATTTAGGTTAAAATAAGTTGATGTTATTAATAATATATTCTTAGATAAATAAGTGATTTTCATCATTTTAGCACTCTAATTCAGCTAATTTGTCAACATTCAATCCTATGTTGGATTGCACATTATTGATCATAAATCATATCAAAGTTCATACTTGCATTTGCAATTTACTTATTTGAGTTAATGTTAAAGAGTAAAAAGGAATATGAATTGTTAATTTTGTATCAACAATGATAGGTTACACATATATAAACATACCCTATTCGGGTTCAATAATAATAATAATAATAAAATCCCCTAATAAAAGAAAATAAAGCTTCTTTTAATTGTTTTAATATCCAAAAAAAAAAATATCCAAAAAAAAATAGAAAAAAAAAAACTTATTATAAAAAATTAGGGATTTGATAATATCCCCAATATACAGAAAAAAAAAATCTTTTCTGATTTCCAACTGTTAAATTTTATTAAGTTCTTATCAACAATATCAAACTGCCACTATGCAGCTTTCATGGTCATTTACAAGGAAATCTTATGCTTATAAACACTTTTACAACAACTTTATTATTATTACTATGCACATTTTATAATTGGGATTATTATTTTTCAAATTATAGGAAATAATTTTATTTACACACATATATAAGTATGTGGCTATGTTGCACTGACACTTCAAAAAATCTGAAGTATCGTGTTCCACACTTCCCGACACCCCGAAACTTTTTGATACTCTGACACGTTTCGACATCTATAATATTTGAAATTTCATTACATCAACATCAACAACACCTTTATCCCAAATTAATTGGGGTCGGTGGTAGATGAACCCACATGGAAGATATAAAATGGTTGAAAAAAAGTAAAAAAGCAAAAAAAAAAAAAAAAAACAAATAAAAAAAAAAAATACCTGTATATATAAATAAATAAAAGTAAAAAAGAAAAGGACAAGAAGAAGTGGGGGAAATGAAGGGGAAAAGGACTAAAAAATAAATAAATATATGTATATGCAAAACGGTTGAAATTTCATTACATATCATGAAAAAATTGATTGATATTTTACCAAATTGGTATAATAAAAAATAAAAATGGAAACTGAATGAATCTCGTTGGAGTGCATAAGAGATTTTCATTTCAAAAATATAATAGTAAATATTTACATATTATGTTTCTTTGCAAAATTGATGGATAATAAGTTTAGTTTCATTTTTTTGTTAAATTATTTAATATTAAATATAATATACACTACGTAAATTAAAAATATCATTTAATATCAAAATGTGTCCTAACGTGTCAAAATCTAATATTTTTTTAGAATTAATGTATCGGAGTGTCGTGTCATATGTCCTGCGTCGGAGTCGGTGCAACATAAGTGTGTGGGGCCATATGAATAAAAAAGAGAGAAAAATAAAACATGAACTTCATATACTTTTATATATATATATATATATATATATATATATATATATATATATATATATATCCTACATCATCAAAAACTTTAATCCCTTTATAATTAGTTGTTCGTAATATCTTTGTTTACATCAACTTTTCAGACAACTTGTACCAATATGAGACTATTAATAATATCTCTTTTAATAGTTGAAATAACTTTAAAACAATCTTTTTATATAGCTTCAATAACTACCAACAAGTTGTATCTTTTTATTAGTTTTTTTTTTTTATATATTATAACTCTTACACAAGTTTCCTTCCAGAATTAAGGTGACTTTAATATTATCCTATATACATACATAAATATTTCCCATCAATATCATCTCTTTGTTTTTTGTATATCCATCAATGTCATTTGTTTTTGTTTACCCTTTCGCATCTTCAATACTACCGCATATCACATATTCTCATGTATTAATATTTCCCACACATGCCAATTAATAAAATTCATTTTCAACTCCAACAATTAAGTAACAACAAACTAGCCATATCATTAAAGTATATACATATAGTGGTTTGGTCAAAGATTCAAAAAAAAAGAGCTTCAAAATAGTATTTAGACACACAAGCTGCTAACAAATCAAGCAACACAACCAGTAGTACATTTGTAGATGCTTAATTTAGCTTAGTTTATTGTGATTCTTCTCTTGCAACATGCTATACTCACACTAATCTTATAAAGCTATAAAGGAGAATTGATAATTGGAACACTCATAGTAGGTTCGACATGGTTGTTGAGTGTGCTATCCAAGACTTTTACAAACCTCTCCATAGCTTCAGATGGTAAACAAACAGGTATAACTAAACCTTCCTCTCCTTTCGTATTTTTAAAGGGTATGTAAAAGCTTGCCACACCAGGTATAGCTCCAACACCTCCTTTAGCTGGTCCTCCGTAAACAGCATTTCCCCAACCAAAATCAACATCTCCAAACCCGGCACGTGTCACATCCGACACAAGATATGATCTCACCACAGTGAAATGTGGTCTTCCCTTGATGACCATTAAATCTGCCAATGAATGCATATACTCTTGAGTAACATCAGTTTTTGCTTTCCCCACTAATGCAAGTGCATACCCCAATGGATTTTCACATAACTTCCCTGCGGTTGTAACCGCGGGAGAAAATGCAAAAGCGTTTCCATAGTAACCAATTGGTAATGGAGGGTCAAATTTGCCACGTGCATTAACAATGCATAATATGCGAACCTCTTCATCATTGTCTGGTTGTAATGCTATTGTGCGACAACGCCAAAGACATGCAGTGAGGATTTCGAAATTGGAACATTGTTGTTGATGATGAGGAATAAGACGACGAATGGAAGATACCTCAGTAGGACCAAAGAAGAAAGAGCGATGTGCCATATCGTCTAAGGGGATTATGGTTCCTTTGGTGTCTGGTATTTGTTCATATTCGCGATGGGTACATGTCACTCTTGGTGGGTCCCTTGCATTTAGAATCTCCCTGCACCATACTGGAAGGATTGAAGGTTTGTGCATTCCACGAGCTATCTCGCCTAAAGCAGTCATGAATTGGACTAAACCAGCTGCGTCGCTCATGGTGTGGTTCAACCGGAGAGCGAAGATGAAACCACCGCATTTGAGCCGTGTTACCTGTCATTTCAATTATAGTTTGTAAAACACAGTTATTTTTTCATGAACCTACCCAACCCAACTACTATAATCAATGATAAATTAATACTATTGGCCCTTAGACCCATTTAAGGTGAAACCGGAACATTTTTTGTCCTTATTCAAAAGTCTTATATTTTATCAAAATAATGTAATCAAATATGCATTAAAAATAGTTTTGGGAGAGTCACCCTCGCTTAGGGTCTGACAGTAATCGAAGTAGATTAGTCCGAATGATAACTGGTTGAGGAGACTCAAAACAAAGAATACATTGAAATTGTTTATGTTCAAGTTACGTATGAGGGAGATGAGCGACTTGTGCGAAAAAAAAATAGCACATGCATGTCATGTGTCTCTTGCTGCTGCAAGGTGTGTATCACCCTATATATAACTTGAACACCCATAACATTGTGTGCATCTTGCAGTGCCCTGACTTTTTCACACACCATGTATCACCCCGATACGATTTGAATGTGCACACCTCATTTGTGTCTCACCGCATTATTAAGACAAAATATTTAGTTTTTGAATCAACTGAGATAAAATGTTTTCTTTTTGACATTAAATGGATCAAAAGGCCAAATATGTTTCTACCAATACAATTGTTCTTTTACGAAAGAAAAATATTTAATTTTGTAGTGAAATATTTATAGTTGTGTGTGATGGTATATTTTGATTTATTTGAAAATAAATCAGTAATAATTGTATCGAATAATTAATTGTATTTAAGTTTAAATCTCAAAAGACGTTAATAGACAAACAAACAAAAACATTACTGATTATACTAATTATACTAATTATATAAAATATGGGATGACATATAAAAAATAAAAACGATTAGCGGGTGAAGGACCACCAAGAAGTCATGATTAATTTTAAGAACACATTTTCTATCTACCGAAAAAGGATTTAATTGTTCCCAATTTTTTTTTTGCTCTAATCGTGGTCCCCAAACTAGTACTTTCGACAGAGATATTTTAATTCGACGTTTAATATAAACGACAGGAAGAACTTTATTCTTTGTCAATTCAAATTTGTATAACTTTATGATTACGAAAACAAAAACACAATTCTTTTGCGAAATTATTTTCTAATTTAATGTGAGTAAAATATGTATGGGACTGAATTCATTTAAGTCGCGCATTATTTACCAAATTTTGCTCTATACACAGATCCTATGATCCACGGACACGGACACGACACGACACGCCGACACGTTAATTCTAAAAAATGTCATATTTCGACACGTTGGGACACGTTTTGATATTAAATAAAAAATTTAATATATATAATATAATTTAATATATATAATATAATTTATATTTAATACATATAAAAGTCCATAATAAGTCATATAACCAATCAAATATATAAATTTCATAACATAAATATAAATATAAATAATTTTTCGTACTTTGTTAATTTTTCATGTCAAATTTCATAACAGAAAAAAATTAATTTATAAATTATATCTTTTATATTTAGTTAACAAAGTAAAATTAAGATTTAAAAAAAAATAAAAAACGTGTTCGAGCGTGTCCGAGCGTTGACCGTTTGGTCGAAAAAGTTGACTGCGTGTCGGAAAAACTTATCGGAACGTGTCCGAGAATTAACCGTGTCTCCCCAAATGTTGACCGCGTGTCGGACGCGTGTTCGAGCGTGTCGGAGCGTGTCCATGTCGGACACGTGTCCGACACGCAAATTTTCAGAAAAAGACCGTGTCCGTGCTATATAGCACAGAACGAGCAAAAATCAATGTAATAAAAGGCATTCATCTTCACAGCGCGTGTTCAAATCGCGCACATACCAGCGCAAGTCTTGCAAGACGCAATACGTGACGAACACAATTTGCCTTTTGCATAAGTTGCACATAGGATTGATGCGCGACTTAAACGTTCATACTCTTGTACATGTTTCATTTGCATTAAATTAATAAATAATTTGCTAAAAAAATTAAACAATAATATATCTTGATTTTGCATAAGAAGGGTAAAAAAAATGACATTACAATTAATACTTTTTAGAACTCACAAATATGTTATAAAAGTATGATGTTTCTTATGTAGTATAAGAGAAATTATATCTTATACACGTATAAAAATATATAGAGCTCATATGAGGTCATATGAAAAGAAGAAAGAGAGAGAAAAAGAAAGTAAATATTTTTTTTGGTCCTCAACAAATTTCATCATACCTGCTTTAGTCCTTAGCAAATAAAAAGGTTATTTGTAGTCCCTAAGAAATTCAAAATGAACTCATTTAATTGAAATTGTGGTCCCTCACAAATTAAAAAAGACCCACATTAGTCCCTCAAAATGACTAAAATGGGTCTACTTTGAATTTCTTAGAGACCACGAATAGCCTTTTTATTTGCTAAGGACTAAAGCGGACATCGTAAAATTTGTTGAGGACCGAAAATGGTATTTACTCAAAAAAAAGAGTCCTCTATACTTTTATACATATATAAAAGATGAGAAACGTGTGTGTCATTTTAAAGGATGTAAAAGTGTGTCATTTTTTTTTGAAAATATTGCAATTGGTTCATTGCTTTGCAACTAATCCGATTCAGGACGGATTCAGGATTAAGGTTTTAAACTCCTCCCAAAAGTGATACTGGGAATATTTGAATACATGCTATCACCTCACCTGCTTAGCTCTCATGCGCCAACTGAGCTACCATCATTTGGTATAGTTGTGTCATTCTAAGAGAAAAAAAAGATATAGATAAAGAAAGAAAAAGTTGACAAAAAAATAATAAAGATATAGGTCTCACCTTCTTAAGAGAGGAAAATGACACAAGTTGTGTCAATTAAAAGAATAAATATTTTTTTTTCATAAACATTAAAGTTTATAACCACCAACTTTTTATAATGAATGAAAGGATTGGAATCATGGGAAAAAAGTTTAACCTGTATAAGCAGAAGGGGAGTGTTAAGTACTTCTCCAGAACCAGGAACATCGTAAAGGAGCTCCTCCCAGCATGGGAATGGAGGTTGAAGAGCATCACCAAATTGCTGAAGCGTGACATCAGCATCAGCCTCAATGAATATAACACCCTCTCCAGTACAATCCACCATGAGTTTTCTACCAGCACCTTCCCTAAGCCTACCTGCAAAAGGATAATAAAACACAAGCGTTTTCGCCAGTGCTTTTCTAATGACCTCAACAGGGTCTTTCCCTGCCATTTTTGGATCATAGCGATAGAACTGTATCACTGGAATTTGGAAACGTAGACCATCTTGGTCGTCAATGTCTGAGAGTAGTTTCAGTTCGCGAGGCGTGGGTTTCGCCGGAGCTACCAGCTCTGGCTTATGCCTCCGTACTGTAAAGAACAGAGAGGCATGTGATTGGGCCATACCAAAACAGAGAGGGATGAGAGGGAAAATGCCAGTTTTAGAATGGTTGGCAGATGCTGTGTGATCCTAAAGCTACAAGCTCACATATATAGTGCGCCATCCTATAATGGGATGACCCACATCCGCTTTTTTTATGTTCATCATGAAAAAAATAAAAAATAAAAAGATTAAATAACTTTTTGGGTTCTTAATAAAAAAAATATGATCTCTTTTTTAGTCTCTTACACAAAAAATTAGTCTCGAGGTCTTTAAAAAATTTAAAGTGGACTCAGTTAGTTGAAATCGTGGTCCCTCACAAATTCAAAAAAAGACCCACATTAATCTCTTAAAAAGATTAAAATGAGTCCACTTTAAATTTCTTAATTACAATTTTTTTTGAAAAGAACTAAATAGAGGATGGTGTTTTTTGTTTAGAAATCTAAAACGGTATTTACTCAAATAAAAAAGGAGATCTGACAGAGCAAAAACACAACATGGTTTTTTAAACATTTTTCTTTTCCCATTGATATATCGGTTAATTGATTAATTCGGTTAAACCGAGTCAAATTATAAGAGAGACAAAAATTTTCTTACTAAATTTTTAACACAGATACCTCAAGACTTGAACCACTCGATGAAAAATTGTGTTGGAACGAACGATTACACACGCTACATTGTGAAAAATATCTTGGTCACTAATTACGTATAGCTAAGAATAAAATTAATACAAATGAATATAAAAGATAAATTTGATATTTCAACTGTGTGTTTATCTCATTCATTGGTAGCTTTCAAATAGGCGAACATACAATAAATGGTTAGCACAAGATCAGCGATTTGCTAACAGCTAACAACGTAACAAACTAAAACAAATAAATACTCTATCTAAACAGTCCTACGGTTACAAAGAATTCAAACAATATACGTTACAAAGAATTCAAACAATATACTGTTACATATAATATCTAACACTCCCCCTCAAGTTGGAGTATGTAAGGATGCAATGCCCAACTTGGAAAGAAAACTAAGAAGCTCGCGTTGTCCTAAGGCTTTAGTAAACAAATCAGCAAGTTGGGAACGAGAAGGCACATGAGCTGTTGTAATATGCTTGGCTAGAATATGTTCACGTACAAAGTGGCAATATAACTCAATATGCTTGGTACGCTCGTGAAACACCGGATTCGCTGCAATGTGTAAAGCAGCTTGGTTATCACAAAACAATTCCATAGGACTTGAGTGAGTGACCCCAAGAGAAGTGAGAAACGACTTGAGCCACACAATCTCTGCTGTAGCTGCAGCCATTGATCTATACTCTGCTTCTGCAGAAGAGCGAGACACTGTTACTTGTTTCTTGGTCTTCCAGGATACGGGTGAAGAACCCAACATAATAAAGAAACCAGTGAGAGATCGTCTGGTAAGAGGACATGAAGCCCAATCCGAATCACAATAGGCATGGATTTTTAGGTCACAATCCGATTTAAGGATAAGTCCTTGACCAAGATCTCTCTTTACATATCGAAGAACCCAGAGAACAGCCTCATAATGAGCTAGGCGCGGTGAATGCATGAATTGAGAAAGGATATGAACAACATAGCTCAGGTCGGGTCTTGTGATAGTGAGGTAAATCAACTTACCAATGAGTTTTCTATACCGTTCAGGGTTCTCATATACTGGTCTGTCATCCAAGGCAAGACGATGATTTTGTTCTATGGGGGAAATCGCCGGTTTACATCCACTGAGCCCGGAATCAGAAAGAATGTCCAGGGCATACTTACGCTGACATAAAAATATTCCTTTCTTGCTGCGGGCAATTCCAATACCCAAAAAATATTTCAGACTACCCAGGTCTTTTATTTTAAAACACTGATTCAGATACTCCTTGACTGCAAGACAAGCATGTGAATTATTACCTGCTAAGATGATGTCGTCGACATAAACTAAAAGTGTAAGAGACACCTCCCCTTTTTGCATAGTAAAGAGCATGTAATCAGCTTTTGACTGAACAAATCCATATGCCGTCAACGAACTACTGAGTTTGGAAAACTAGTTTCGGGGTGATTGGCGCAAACCATACAATGACTTTGTAAGACGACATACTTTATGCTTAGACCCAGTACTGAATCCAGGGGGGAATCTCATGTAAACTTCCTCACTTATTTCTCCATTCAAGAATGCGTTATGAACATCAAGCTGGTGCAACTCCCAGTTTCTTGTTGCATCCACTGCAAGCAATGTACGTACACTCACTATCTTTGCCACTGGTGCATAAGTCTCACTGTAATCTTCTCCGGCAATATGATAATTACCTGCAATCACCAATCTTGCCTTATACTGTTCCACCATTTCATCAGAACGATATTTTATTTTAAACACCCACTTGCTTGGAAGAGCACGCTTCCCTGGAGGTAAATCCGTGAGGCACCATGTATGGTTGTCTTCTAAGGCTGTGATTTCAGCCCTCATGGCTTCCACCCATCGGGAGTCTCCCATAGCATCTTGAAATGTACGTGGTTCATGACCTGTGTCAATAGCTGCAACAAAATCTTGATGTTGCTTAGAAAAGTTAGTGAGGCTAAGATAATTGCACATAGGATACCGAGTACCTGAGGTGACATTGGTTTGAGTAGGGAGAGATGAAGGAGTGTGTGTTTCAGCTACTTGACATGCATAGTCCTGTAAATAAGATGGCTGCTTCCTGGTACGGTGCTGGCGTGTGACTGTTTGACGCAGATTTGCTTCCAGCAACTGCTGTTGGGTTGATGCATCACTAGAACTCGAACTTCTTTCTGGTAAGGAGGACTCCCTAGCGGAAACTTCGTTAGTTGGTGTTACTTCCAGCGAAACACTCCCCTTATCGTCCAGAGGAACACATGATCCACTAGGCGTTGGGCTGTCATTTGATGCATCAGAACCGTCATGGACAATTTGGCCTTCGTCAAAGTAATTTGGCTTTGTAAGCACACGAGAATTTGGTGCAGAAACAGATTGTACCGGAGCTTCGCGAAAAGGAAATATATTTTCAAAAATTTTTACATCCCTGGACACAAAGCTTTGTTGCGCTTCTATATCAAACAATCTCCAACCTTTCTGCCCTATTGCATATCTGATGAAAACACATCGTCGCGAATGTGGAGCAAACTTGTCAGTTGGTTTCGGTCTTGTATTAGCAAATGACGGACAACCGAACGTGCACAAGTATGTATAATCTGGTTTAACTCCATGCAATTCTTCATGTGGTGACCTGCCTTGGAGAACTCTTGTAGGTGTTTTATTAATTATATGAACAGCAGCAAGAATACCCTCCTCCCAAAAATCAACAGGGAGATTTGCATGAAACAGTAAGGCACGTGATACATTAAGGATGTGTCTATGCCTCCTTTCGACTCTCTCATTCTATTCAGGCGTATAAACACAAGTTGTTTGTTGCAAAATACCTTTTTCATTCAAGAGTTTCACCATGTTATTAGATTTGAACTCAGTACCATTATCAGACCTTATTATTTTTACGGTTTTACCAAATTGGTTCAGAACCATAGCAAGAAATTTGCACATCCGATCATAAGTTTCACTTTTATCGGCCAACATAAAAACCCATACATGCCTACTATAGTCATCCACCACAGTTAAGAAATAACGTGCACCAGAAGAAGAAGAATGTTGATAAGGACCCCAAGTGTCACAATGGATTAAATCAAAACATTCTTTGCTGCGAGAAAAACTTATAGGAAACATTGATCTAGTTTGCTTGGCACGATGACAAACTTCACATGCCTTACATACTACTTTATTTTGCAAAGCTTTAAATTCTGGAACCAGAGATAAGATATCATAGGATGCATGGCCTAGCCTGTTGTGCCACAAGTCAATTGACTCTCCTGCTTGAACTGCCGAAGCTGAAGCACATGAAGGCTGAAACACATAGACTCCTTCATGAAGTTCACCCAAACCAATCTCCCTCTTCAGCACTTGGTCCTGCAAAATGCACTTTTTATCAGTAAATGTAACGCTACTGCTCTTGGAGTGAAGCAATTGGGAAACAGAGATGAGATTGCAGCGTAAGTTAGGCACATATAAAATATTTGACAAGCTGAAGTTTGTATTAAACACCATCGAGCCTTGTTTTGCAACATAAGTAATAGAACCATTTGGTAGAGTCACAGATAGAGGGGGAATATGTGTAATGTCAGCTAATAAAGCCAAAGTGCCTGTCATATGACGTGAGGCCCCACTATCAATGAGCCATTGAGAATGAATACGCTTACCAGATAATTTTTCATGTGACTGAGGCTGGTCTACCAATGTTAACAGTTTGTTCACAATTTCTGGGGTCAAAACGGAGTGTGCAGCAACTTGAGAAGAGGCAGAATGGGAGACGTCTGGAGGAAGAGAGTTAGCAGCAACTGGGTGTGAGGCATCCATTGCAAACGTCGCATGAGCATGCGTATAACGTCCTGCCGAACGTCCTCCCCTTCCTCGTCCGCGACCAGCACTCCTGTTTGGTGGAAAACCACGAACGTTCCAGCATTTGGAAGGGTCGTGATTGGTCCTGCCACAATGAGGGCAAGGTATTCTGTCTTGTGGTTTGTTAGGAACCATCCGCTGCTGCATGGACGTGTCTGACTGCTTCATGGAATCGGTTTGGGCTGAGTATCCCACTACCTGACTCCTCTCATCTTGAACGCAAGAAATACTACGATGGGTCTCCTCTTGAGTGACAATTGCGTACACTTTGTTGACACTAGGAAGAGGAGAAGTGTTGAGGATATGGGATCTCAGATTGCCAAATGTAGATTCATCCAGCCCCATCAAAAATTGATAAACGTGATCATGCTCTTGCTCCTCCTCGATTGCTTTGGCAATGGCACACTTATCACCACAATCGCAAGACTTGCGAGTTTTGCTGCCTTCCAGATCGTCCCATACAGCCCTGAGTTTGGTGTAATAATCACCAACACTATCTCCATGTTGCTTGATATCGGCTAAACTGGATTTCAGTTGATACTGTCTTGGAAAGTTTTGCACTGCATACCTTTCCTCTAGGTCATTCCATAAGTCCTTGACGTC